GTTCCTTAGACTTTTGGTTAACCGAGAACTGATTTACTTTCGCTCTTTATCGTGTTCGGAGCTAGATGGGATGAGTGTACAAGAATCTATCAGTGAAATAAACTTAGTAGAAATCCACTGGTTTTTCGTGACCATTTGGTTCAAATCACTAATAGGTGTCTCTGATGTTTCCATAGCTGTTCGTATATATTTTCAAGCAACAACTGGATCAGCCTCGTTTTCAAAATTGCCTAAGTGTGACTTCAGTTGTTCCTGAGATCTACCTTTGGCTTTCTCTACACTGATTCTAACTCTAATGGGTCTTTTCTGCGTACAATGTGACTCAAGCGAATGCCTGCTCGTGTTAGAGCATGATCGGAGCCCAAACAAGTATTCCAGAACGGGCGGCAGTGTTCTATAGACCCTCTCTAACGATGATTGATGGCAATATGGTATATTTGAGTCCATCGTTTGGTTTGGAGCAGGGGGTCGCCATGTTACACGATCTCTCCCTATGCTTAAAACTAGTGCTTGATAGGAATAAACAATTGTTCGAACACAATTGCAGTAGACGGTCACTTTTATCTTCTCACTAAACCGGAGCACCAAAATACCTTTCTGCTTGGTTTAAGCCACCTACCTGGGCATTAGAGTCACCTGCTACGAGTACTATGTCTGAGCGTTTAGCATTATGAAGTTTAGAAAACTTTCTGTAAAATTCATCTTCCAATTCATTCGGGCTGCAGTCAATAGGATTCATTTTAGAAGTGTTTCCTCTGCTCTCATATTTAGTGCTATGCCTACACCCGCCAGCCTACTAGAACATGCCGTCAGGTCGCCAGATAAACGGAGGGTATATCTCGTCGGCTTCCCGTTTTCGCTAAGTGAGATCGGGTGAACGACTACACTAGGATCTTGAATACATATTCCGAAGACACGGCATGCAACAATCGTACGAGATTCTAGGGTCCTAGTCAAGGAGGCCTGCTAGCCAATTTGACATAAGGTACGTACGTTGAAAGCTTTAATGTGTAGTTTGGAGCGAGGTTTCAGTAGACTCAGGACAGTATTTCGCGCGCTAGATTCATTGGCAATGTTGACACCTAAGGAGGAAGTTTAGAGTTGCTAGTCAAGGTAAGAGGGATAATAGGAGTTGAGGAGGGAAGTTTATTTTGAATACTGTGGTCCTCAGCGCTGTTAGAAGTATGAGGGCGGTTCTCACTTCCTGGTTGTCCACACTGTAAAAGGATTCTTCTAGACGTACCTAGAAAGGTAATTGGGTTGGAATTGGTCCCGAGAACGTGACCGCAATACCCAAAGGACAACTGTTTGGGGCCGGCCACACACGAACTTTCTGTGGGTAATTTTTGTGTTAGCTCCGTACTTGTTGAAACCTTACCGCCGGAGACGGATATCCGTGAGACAAGGCGAGGTGTGCATTTAACTCCACGCTTCTTTGCGGAAATGCAGTATCCTTGTTATGCTATTTGTTTGAGGGAAACAAATTACTGCCGTCACAAGTATGTACACAGAGCAGTACGACTTCGCACCTTGGGTTTTCTGCTTTTCGTCTTACTGCTCTTCAACTGTCCTGTCTGGTTCAGTAGGACCTTGAGGAACGATCGTTCCAGCCAGTATAGCTCGATTGGTTCATCACGACAGGCAAGCCCGACCACCACGTCTAGGTAGCAGCAGCGATCGGGAAGTTCTGACCCGAGCAACAGTATTCGGGTAGAACCTTACAAGGTTTACGTACTTCTTTGTCTGCCTTTAAATGATAAACACAATAATTTTTTTTGGTTAACATAGTTGGCTGGTGCCTTAACGTTACAGTTTGGTATCGGTACATCTACCTTCTAAAACTGAAGGGTGACTGTTTGGTCAATACATTAAGGCACATATATGAAACTACCCTGATTTTGAAGGATTTACTCTCCACGGGTCCTACTTAAGCGTCAGGTGGTTGTTAACGCTAACAATCTAGATAACACCAGTTAAACTGATCCCTTTGTAGTTGTTACCAGAGGATTTATACTCTCATTGGAACGATCAGTTATCTATAACAGTCAGATGAAATCACGTCCAACCCCCTAATTTTCTTTGGTATCTCAATCAGTTAAACAACTAATATTGAATGATTTTTAAACATCTCCGGTGTTAGTCCACCGAAGCCTGCTGTTCTCGCGCTTTAGATCACCTATAGTCTTTGAACCCCACTAAAATTTAGGGGAGTAGCGTTAATTTTCCATTCTGGTTAATGGGTGACTGGAGGCCAGTTAAGTTGCTCCCTAAAGTATCCTGTTAATTGATCTAATATGCTGGACTGGGCGAACAATAGTTCCATCTATTTCAGAGACAGTCTCACGATCGCCTGCCTCTCTAATACGTTTACTCGATCAGTTGGAATAATAATCTTGTGTTAGTCGAAATGGACAACACCGGGTATGAGGATATCATGGGACAACATGGACTGGGATGTGCATTCAAAATTTTTTTATATGTGGCACTACATTACCCCACAACACATACACAAAGCTACATGATTCTCACCGGACCACACTACAGAGAAAAAGATTGATCATATAAGTGTCACAAAAAAATTCAGAAGATCCATAGAAGACGTGAAAACAAAGGGAGGAACTGATATCGCTTGAGATACCATCTGGTGGTTTCCAAGAGGAAACTGAAGCCGAGGAAACATTAGAAAACCGGAGGAACAACATTGTAAAGGTTTAATACAGCCTTTACAGATATTAACTCGAAGAATTTAATATAGCTATCAGTATCAGGTTCCAAGCTTTACATGATCTACGACTATGCAGAACAACTGGAAAGATATCAAAGAAACACTAACTTCAAAGTAACGGGATGTTTTGGGTCGCAGGAAGCATCATCATAAGGTATGAATACCTATCGAAACTCCGGGTAGGATTCAAGGAAGGGAAAACAAAAAGACAGCAGCCAACAATAGGTGAACAAAAGTATAGATAATCAAGGCACAAACTGAACACATAGAGGAGAACTGAAGCTGACAAGCAGAAATACATGGAACACATAGCAGCGTAGGAAGCCACAAGAGGAAATATCAAACAACTGAGTGGCACAATGAAGAAACTAACAAAGAAATATAGTAAACCAGAGGGACCGGTTAAAAACAGAAGGAAAGTTGATCACTGAGATTCAAGGAAAGAGGAAGTTGGGTGGAGCACTTTGAAGAACTCTTGAATTGACCAACTCAAAGGAATCTATTGGACATCGAAGCAGCATACACAAACTATCTAACAGATATCATTTCACCAACAATCGAACAAATCAATATGTCTACCAACCAGACAAGAGTGAGAAAGCAGCTGGACCTGACAATATACCATCCGAAGCACTGAAATCAGACATAGGAGTAACTACAAGTATGCTTCATGTCCTACTCAGGATGACTTAGAAGGAAGAAAAAGTGCCGACGGACTGAAAAGAAGAATATCTCACCAGGCTACCAAAGAAAGATCTCAGTGTGAGGACTCCAGAGGTATTACACTACAGTTGTCTATGCAAGATACTCAATATCTGTTGGATGGATACCATCAACAACAGCCTACTGTATCAAAGAACAAGTCGGCTTCCAACTGAATAGGAAATTAGGGAAAGACGCTGAAGATGAGTAGGACATACATTGTGGAAATCATCAAACTAAATCACGAGGCAAGTCCTTACTTGGGATTTCCCAAGTAATCTTCAGTCCAGATTGTTTACTTAAATACTTGTTTAGTTCTTTGAGCCGAACGGTTTCGTCGTGGAGCTTTTATTGTTCTTCTGAACATCAACAGCACAAACTTTAAGCAGGGTTATGCTAATGTTGTTAAGAATGATGAAAGCTTCACGGCCAAACTATCCACTTAAGTAGGATCTTACTTCGGTTATAGTGGACAGCTGATTGATTTTTCAGTGACCAACATGATTGTCATCAAAAAACACCAGTGTAATGCTACAATATCTTAGGACAGAAAATGCATTCCGAAACAGACGGCTCCATCTCTACAGAACCTTCAAGTGATAACTGGTGCGTAACATATCCTATTAACTTCTGCTTCCGGTCTGGTGAGAAGTTTGCTTGATGTCGATCCAGGCGTCATATTTGATGGAGCTTCACTGAACGTCAAGCTTTTTCATGAAACTCATGTCTGAAGTGGGAAGTATTCTGAGCCAGATATATACACAATTACGTTAAGATTTCTCAAGTGTTGCATTCAGTTTGCTGTGTTCTTGGAAAGGCAAAGATAACAATGTTTCTGAACAATTGGTAGTAAGATGCCAACTTGAAGTTACAATAACTATATGAAACTATCGAAACCAAAATCACAGCCAATATAACATGACATATGGACACGGAAATAAAGACAGAGCACCAAAGTCCGCGAATAGTACCAACGATTGAACTTATCACTCCTACAAACTACTCTTGATGACAGCTATCCCAAAATTGAGAATCAATTAGACGAACGAGCATTCAGGTTCATGTGTCAAAGTGAAATGTACTAAAAATAATCAGATAGTTACTCAGTCGTCAAGAAAGCCTGGACCAACAAACTTAATTTTGGACATAACAAAAACCTTATTTTAAGGTACAATACACCAACAGTTCTTGCACAAGTACCGGGTCAGTCAAGTTAGTCGTCTGGGGAGGTTTGCTGTTTCGTCCAAGAATGCCAGATCGACAGAACGTTTACAAAAGATTTTTGAACCAAGACGACAAAAAAAACAGCGGTTTGAATATAAACACTTACATCTCAACTCATATATTTCTCAGTTAATAAGTTAAATATCGTGGAAAAAACCGACTTGTATTTTACGACGATTTGTGAAGACAGCAAACAGTATACACATTAAAATCTTATTTACTTTATAGCATTGTGGCAGACTCAAAAGATGGTCTTATAATATTGATAATTTATCGAGTTTTGCATTTATCTGTAGCTGAACTGGTTTGTACTTTCTCCATAAGTTCATTGATGTCGTGAGCCTGAATATCAGTTTTTATCCCGTCGAAAGTTGATTTCAGCGTCATTCGCGTTGTCGCATATAACATTCTTACTGTGGGTAGTGCAGAATCGGACACTCTAGAATAACAAATTAAGAAACATAAATGACTTCATACAATGAGAAGTATATTAAGTTCGACCCTTTAACACCTTCACATTCATAGTCTAATACACCATAGCACCCCGTGTGTTGATAATTCATAACCTCATTTTGAAATTGTGATAAAGTTTCATCTAGGAGGATAAATTACATTGAGTTGAAAACAACTTCTAGGAGCAGCTTTGATTACATCTATTTCATTATTAACGATTCTAAACAAGATATAGCGGTAACAGTGATCCATTTTCAGTTCTCTGTACGTGGCTTCACAGTTTGCTGAGGGTTTAATACCTGAAGACTGATCGGTGATAAAAATAAAACAATTTCGTGTACCATGTCTGGAGATATATGCAGTAAAGAAGAGAAACCACGCAACTCCCTACCGAATCCGGATTTGTGCGCCTTCTGATTTATAGTCTGAGGGTCAATTAAAAGTAATCATTGAGCAAGAATGAACATCTTATTTTTATCCGGGTTTTGACGTGAAAAACGTCTTCCGACTTAGGAATAACCCATCTTTTTAAATTCAATTGAAATAAGTGATCATGTGACAAATAAGGCTATTTTTAAAAGTTTTTACGGCGAATTACATATTTCATTGTCAGTTTGAAAATGACACGAGACCATGTGTCCTATGTTAGTCCTGGTAATTGTAATTTCTCAGTTGACACTTTTCAACGCTAATAAAGCCCACCTGATAGGAATATCTGAAACCTGGATATCTTCTCAGTTCTCGGACCAAGCTGGACTGGAGGCGACAACTCAATTGAAGCTCGGTTCTTCAACCTCATCGATGACTTGGGCTTATATGAAAATGTGAGGTCGGCAACTCCTTGGAGAAACAGTCAGACACCATCGCGGTTAGACTGTATATTCACAAACGAAGAATTCCTAGTTGACAACCTCACAATCCTGGTTCCTCTGGGAAAGAGCGATCATGCCGTCATAGCCTTCAGTTTTGTCAACAAAACTAAGCTAAGGTATCCCAACAATAATTTGCGTTGGAATTTTAAACGGCTGAATGTACCAGCTCTACATGACTATCTACAACAGGTGGTTTGGGATGTTCACCCCCAACTCGATGTGGACGGTCATTGGGACTTCTTACTGCACACGCTCTTATGTGCTACAAACCATTCAATTCCTCAAACGGTTCCCAAAAGCTGCAAGTCACCTACAATAATCAAGAACCGTACCCTTCGCCTGCAAAGCCGTAAAAGGCACTGTTGGGCGGAATACAAACGAACTGACAACGACGGAGCGTATAGGCAATACTGTAGTGTCAGTTATTATGGCAAGCCCATCTACCTTATTCTAACTTGTGGACATCCTATTTAGTTCATTTTACTTGAGTCATAATATGTGTACACTTTATGTCCCGTGACTCATCACATATCTGTCGTTTATTTTGTCTGCCTATAAATATTAAGTAATGCCTAGCTTGAAATGGAGTTGGCTTCCCAGCCATCTTCCCTGTGCGTCATTTTGCTTGGATCTGTTTCATTCGCTCCATGTACGAAATATATGTATTGTCAAGTCAATTCTCGTCATTCGACTTATTTAATTCCGTTATTGGATAACGCGATTTAAGTCGACGATGATATACGAGAATAGGCGATAGCAAACATTCATATAATACTATCTGAAATGGAGTCAGATCACGTGCCGTCTCAATACAAACACATCAGGAACATATGCACGAAGGCTATAAGAGAAGACAGGCTTCATTATCAGACAAAGCTTATGGACAAATTTGCCTCGAACCCTAGAAGCCTATTCCGTTATGCAGCCTCTCTTCGTCAAGCCAAAACAGGAGTTTCTCAACTGCTAGGTCTTAACGGCCCGACCAACAACGATGGTGACGCCGCTGACCTTCTGGCGGCACACTACTCTCAAACATTTCAGCCGGCTGACATCAACTTTATTGACGACAGTTTCATCTGCGATTCCACAGGGCTTTCCGAAGTGGACTTAAGCGCTGACTTGGTGTTCCGGAAACTGCAGCACTTAAGACTAGATACTTCTCCTGGCCCGGATATGGTTCATTCTGCCATACTGAGGGAGGCAGCCTCAATCCTGGCAACGCCGCTTAGTGTAATGTTTTCACACTCGCTAAGCCGAGGCAAACTACCGGAAAATTGGAAGTTGACTCACATCACACCAATTTTCAAAGGTGGTCGACGCAATGAACCTTCAAGTTATCGGCCGGTGGCTCTTCTGTCATTACCTTCAAAACTCATGGAGTCCCTGATATGCGATGGTTTAAACGATTATCTACTGTCCTTAAACTTCTTCTCACCTCAACAGCATGGTTTCAGGAAGAGTTACTCTTGTATAACCAACCTGCTGACTGCGGTGGACAGATGGACAAGCACCCTCGATCGCAAGGGAAAGGTTGATATCATATACCTTGATTTCTCAAAAGCTTTTGATAAAGTTAACCACTTGTGTCTTATCAATGAGCTCAAACGACTAGGTATCAAACCAACTCTAATCGATTGGCTTACTTCATACCTAGAAAATCGACACTTTAAGGTTAGGGTTAATTTCACTTTATCTCAGGCTATGGAATGTCCTAGTGGGGTTCCCCAGGGCTCAGTATTAGGGCCTCTCCTCTTCTTGATCTACATAAACGAACTTCCTCAACAGGTAACGTCAGACTTATTACTTTTTGCCGATGAGGTGAAACTTTGGAGAGAGATACGCAACCAAGACGATACACAGGCACTTCAGGAGGATCTGACTCGACTTCAAAGTAGGGCAGATGATAACGGACTTAAGTTTAACACTTCAAAGTGTAAAGTAGTCCATCTGCGACATGTCGCAGACTACAGTTATAACTTAAGAAATTCCTCTCTAGTAGTATCCCAAGTCGAAAAACATTTAGGAGTCCTGGTGCCCCATGATTTAAAGTCTTACGCTAATTGTGACAAAAATGCCTTCCGAGCAAACCTTGCACTGGTAACATTGAAGCGCATTTTTGGCCCGTTTGACGGATAAACTTTCCATACAATCTTCAATAGTTTTATCCGTCCCCATTTAGAGTACGGAAATATAGTACTCCCCCCTCACTCCAAAAGGACAAGGTCACTTTGGAGCGTATCCAACGGCGAGCCACGAAATCAATTCGCGGACTCAAATCTAAGCCTTACGAAGAACGCCTCCATTCACTAGACCTTTACCCATTAGAGTATAGGCGTCTTAGAGGTGATTTATTAATGGCTCATAGTATTCTTAACACTTCTGGACACCCTCTTAAACACCTACTCAAGCTTAGTTCGAATACTAACCAAAGGGGTAACACCCAGAAACTGGAAACTCAACCTAGCAAGACGGGATGTAGACACAACTTCTACTCCTTAAGAGTTGTCAAAAGCTGGAATTCGCTGCCGGCCGAGCTAGTCCAAGCGACTTCTCAGGAGTCCTTCAAGAGGCAACTTGACCTATTCTTAAGGACCAAGGACAGTATCACACTACGATTTACCAATTTCTTTTCCTCTTTTATTGTTAACATACCTAGGTTCCTGCCTGGAGGATTTGGTGATCCCCTGCTACTAGACACGGAAGCCTGTTAAGCGAAAGCTTCTTCTATTCCATCCACAACCATTTGAACCATTTGAATTTGACACAACTTTATTTCGAAAGAGTCGACAGACGGAGTCTTAATCACGTGTTGAGGGAATGATTTCCACTCGATGATTCGATGGGAAAGTCAAATGGTTCAAATAGTTGTGGACGGAATAGAAGCTTTCGCTTAACGGGTTTCTGTACCTAGTAGCAGTGGATAGTCATTTGATGATAAAATGAAAAATTATACAAATGAGTTAATTAAACAACATGTATGATCTGTGCCAAATGATTCTGACCAACCAGCTAACGTCGGGGGAACACCTTACAGCTAGTACCTTCTATGGATTAACCTTTCCTATTGTTCAGGTACTACGGCTGCTTTGATGACCGTACATTACAAATGACGCTATTACCGTAATATATTGGTAAATGTAAGTACAGTGGACATGCTCAGTGGTTGTTACTGATCTTGACGAGGATCATGAACTGTTTGATATTCTATGATGATGGGTGATTTGGCTAGCGCCCACTTGCATTTCTTGGGCCACACAGATAGATAGATAGATATCCAACCGTGTTTGAATGAATCATTGGTATTCACATTTGTATATAATTAGTGACACAAGCCACTTTCGGAAACAAAGTTATCCAGGAGACGTTTCAACCGGGTTGCAGTTTTACTGCGACGAAGGCTTTCTGGGAGTCTGTTCCATATGGTTAAATAGTGAATAACGGAGAAATTCTGACATCGTTTATGTAGGTCCTTGAAATCGAAAGAATGTTCATTTATTGTGTAAGCCGTGGGATTATATAATAGAGTACGAAGGGATGGATGCCAAAGAATAAGGAATATTGTTCAGAAGCCTGAAGTCAATGAAAAAGTTTGTTTAATATGCCTGATCTAGAGAGGTTTTAACTTGAGATTGTCGGAATAACACAAAATAGTGTGAACAACCAGTTCTCATCAAGATATTATGCTTGCAATCGCTGTAGACTAGAATACCACATTCAACGACGGGCATGATACTTTTTTTCACATAGTGATAATAATCCAGGTTCTATATTATTAAAATGGATCATTATGAATTTAATGAATCTTCTTGTTTAGATATTAGTGATGCCATATGTTCGGAAAAGTTGAAACTATTGCTTTACTGAAGTCATAAACAGTGTTGGAGTGTCCCAGTAAGTATTTGTGCAGAACCGGATTTAGGTTATCGGAAAATTCCAAGTGCAATGTGGAGTATGAGAGTCTAGTCATTGTCAGGGCATTTTTTATATGAAAATTAATAAAGGTCAAACAAATCAAAGTTCAATCAAAATAACTAAGAGGAGAGAAAGAATAAGAAATTGTCGCGTTATCCTAGGCCATAGAATGACTTAAGGATTACCAAGGTAAATTCAAGGTTACGACAAATTGTTTTTGTACACATAAGGGGGGTTTCATATAAACATGCCCTGACAAGCATATGTGTGGCCAGATTGTTCGAAATGTATAGCGCTAATACATCACATTTTTTAGATCAACTCCGTCTTCTCATTGTTCTATCGAAATTTATAAATGGGACTAATTGCTTTAAAGTCTAGTCATTAACCCATGCTGAAATGGCCTAATCAGGTCCAACGTCTGTGGATGATTTTTCCAAGATCCTTGATTGCATGGATGTCAGTGTAATGAGCCTATAGTTAGTAATATCGCTATGTGATCCCATTTTGAACTTGCGGGTGGTAAGCGATGTTTTCCGTACTGATGGATAAGCCCCATA